CTCTTGTTTTCAACAAACGCCACATTTACTTCCATGATGAAAGCAACTATGTAAGGTGTAGCTTTTTTTGTTGTCAGAGTTAAAGGATGAGTTGGTGCCATGAGACACCTCTGAAAGACACATCAAATGGAGATCATAAATGCTGGAAATGTCGGTTATATGGCAAATTCTAGCGGTAAGCATTGAGTGCCCTGCCCTGGACCTGCTGCAAACCTCTTGGCGTGACTTTAGTTTACGGCGTGGTATACCAAGGGTACTCTTTAATAAAAGACTGGTTTGGAATTACTTATAAATTCAGAGACGCTTTGAAAACGGAAGATTTTAAGCTGCTCCCAGTTTTAAGTATAAAGCACATGGGTCCGAATACAATAACAAGAAGTCCTATCAAACTAGACGCAGAGGTGGACGCTTATCTTGATCAGCGACGGGAATTTTTATGAAGCCTTGGATTTGTATTCATTTTCAATTTTCATTATGTATAAGCATTATGATAAGACTTTGCTTTCAGAACGTTTACTGGTTGGTTACCAAACTGCGTCTCCCACAGATTGGACAAAACTACTCCACAACGGTAGGCACGTTCCAAGAAAAAGGTGATACGTGCACGTATAATTGTCCTTAATGTTTGCTACGTGACACTGGATATTTTGGAATATCAGTGCAACGATGTGCAGTGAAGTAAATCCTCCACATGCCCGAGCCTGGCACGTACGCACTGCCGCCCGAAACTCCAATAAGGTCGTGGTTGGCACGTGATCAACACCTAGCGTTTGGATAAGCAGATACACCCACCAGTCGCTTCCCGCTTCAAGTGCAGACCTTGCTGATCGTATATCAAGACCAGTGCAACTTTCGTCTGATTAAAGAAATACCACTGCCAGGCCGCGAACAGTGCTGGAAGGTAAATAAATCAAAATGGTGGTTTGTTGAAGTTCTAATTTAATACCAGAGCCTGGTGTTCAGTGAAAGGAATGTTGCGTCCACGTGTGATTGTCAATCATTTTTTTGTTAATCAGCCGCGCAATAATTATGTCATAATGGTATGCCGTGCGGCTCTGGCACGTACTCCAGTTTTTAACTCGCAATTCGAGTGAAACTGCGGCGAATGCTTTCTCTGCGAAAAACGTTCACAGTGCATGCAGATTGAACGAAAGCGTAGTTTGTGCAGCATTATGCATATCAATATCTTGGAGTTAACAACTTCAATGTTGCTCAACCAGATGATTTTTTTGCACGATGTTGGTCAACACATCCCTTAATCACACTTTTCGAGAAAGCGCCCCCCCCGGACATTTCCTACCAACTGCATATCAAGATAAGATTGTGAAACAATTTTCAACTTTGTTCAGAGTTTAGGCCTAATACCCATTACTTCATATTAGACCTAAGTCAGATGTTCGCAATCGTTCCTGCATTCGATGCTTGTGCCGGCTGATTATTTTGTTCTTTATAGGGATTTTTTACACAACAGTAGATAAGATTTCCCCTCGCGAAGGAAAGAAACCACAGTCAAATGCGTTTCTGGGAGTATATCGCTCAGGCTTTTCCCGTCAAGAAAGGTGACGCACTGGTAAGTGCTTTTAACGCGTAAGGCCACGAAAAAAGTTTGAGAGAGCCTTACCGCGCTTTTGCTCCATATACATGTATATAGCACGTACCATTAAGAAGACATGGGCGCATCAATTCACATTTAAGAATAAGGTCAGTATACATAGGCTATTATGATATTCCTTATGGAGGGTTTGCATATACAAGTGTAATTTTGACGTATGAGTATGTCATATTCACGGTAGGCAGATCTTCCCCTAATTGCAATGATGCCTGACTTAAAATGAAAAATTAAAATAACATCACTCTGGTACTGAGACCTCCAATGGGTGTAAAATAACATGCATTGTGCTGCTAATTTATGAATCCTGTAACCAGTATGATATAATATAATACGACGGTTTGCCTAAAATCTTAATTTTTCTGTCAGATCGGAGTTTAGGAGATAACAGCAGCCATGAGCTCAAATAGCATGGGTTACGCTTGCAAAGCTGCCTGTGGAATCCAATACGTGTTTGTTTTCGCTCTTTGCGTGCTCAACGGTTCCCTTAGCGACGTGTACTTCTTGATAGGCTGGTAATGTTTATGTTTCCAGTAATGTATACGTGCGATAAAATCATTAATGATTCGTGTAGGACACTCGAGTAGCTCATCTGGTGGCTGTGTTGGGATAAGTACCCATTTTTGGCAAACTAAATGTCACTCATACGTCCATGTCAACAGAACCAGTAATATTCGCCTGTACTTTACCACCCTTGGTGGCGTATTTTAACGGTGCGCAACCGTACCGCGGTGGTACAAAATATAGTGCATATGGTTTAGCTTTGAAGTGTAGTCAAAGGTGGAAGAAGTCGTTGTTTTCCTTTTGCTGTTTCTAATTCTGATTTCTTATGATTACAGAACCTGAAGACTTACAATAACATACGGCCTTAACAGGTACCCTGTCTACAATAAGAAGATCGAGATAAATAAACTGGCTGACGCCAATTTCAACACAACTCTAACCATTTCCGCACACAACTGAATCCGCTCAAAAATCAACATTTGATTTAGAATTCTGATCTGAACTGATAGAAAGTTGTACATACAACACTATAGAGGACAACAAAGCTAGCCAACGATTCTTTTCAAAAGGGTTCTATATTCTAATTCCTACAAAAACAAGCAATTTCAGGGGTATCAAATCTCAAAAAATGGGTAAAATAATGTCGACACTATGGACGGACGTATTTCACCTGATTTGATAGTTTACGCTTTTAACAATTACATTTCCCTCAGCAAAGTCTGATGTCTCTTCTGTTCGTTTCTTTCCTTGGGCGATTATATTGGACTATTGAGGGTATGCCCATCCTGGACACAGATGGGCATACCCTGGACTCATCCTGGACTCTATAATTTGCCTCCTAAAACGTTCTCCGGAGATTTATTAGAATCAACAGAATTTCCCCTTCCAACCTTGCGAAACGTAGGTTGGAGACCAAACAACTCCTGAAAATACCAAATTGGCAAGGTTCTTAATACCTCCATCCTCATGTGACGGTTACTTTATTAGTTTTTTTCAGGGAAATCTTTCTCGAAGACTCTTGACGTCAAATACTGAAGTAGAGGTCCCAGTATTCATGCGGTGGGGTTGTACTGGCGATTCAGCTTTGTCCGATTCACACTATATGCTATACATGCAAGCTATGTGAGCTGTGAGATGAAGTGACCATCCTCCGTTTTCTGGCCAAGCGTCGATTTGGCCCTCTTCGGTGGCCTGTGGTCACATATTGTGCCCCTCGAGGATGAAAAGAGCATGAAACTTTTAAACAGATGTCTTGAAAAGACCTAATGGCACTCTTGCGAAGTTGCCTGCGCCATGCCAGCAGTGACTTTCTCTCGATTATTATCTAACGTGCAGAGAATCGATTTCAGACGTCTAGGTGCCTCGCAACATCTATTCGAGACGGCATATTGAGGACAGCTACCACTTAAACTGCTAATAGCAGAGCTAGGCCCCGAAAAACCTGCGGTATAATCCGTTTTGCTGCTCTTGCTCATTCCTCGCTCTGTATGAAAGTATGCATTATCCCGACCAGACCGACTACAAGTGGGATTTCGCCCCGGGCAATTGCATATAACGTACGCTAAGGCAATCTCCAGCCTCGGAATGGCACGGTGTCAGAGCTAATAGTGCCTTATGTCTGGTGTTAGGCAACAATATGTACAGATTATTGCCCCAAAATCATGAGATTCTGAAACAGGGCCTTCAATCGTAGACACTTCAGAGTTACCAGACTTTCGAACAAAGTGAGCCCATACCTGCCCGCTAAAGGCATGCTCGCCACTTTACCATCTAGTCAATACAAATCCATAATTAGGTTTTGTACAGGTTGCCCCATGAGTATACGTACCAGGTAACTGACATGCTGAATGGACTCTGCACTGTAGCAAACCACCAAAGTGCTGCAGTCTTCTGGCTACAACAAGATATCTTATACACTCAAGTACCTCCCATCTATAACAGGCACAGGCGTGTACGTCTCAGAATTTGGTCTTAAACCTCAGAGGCCATCTATCGCTTATAGAGGGCACATCCTAATTATTCCCATACGGACAAGGGCTGTCCGAACTGATAACAAGAACGGATGGACGAACAATTTTCCCTTCCTCGGTTAAGGTACCACGTAATGATGTTAATCTCAGCTGTAGTCAAATTATTAAATCAAGGCAAGGGCGATCGCCAAAATGTGGGTGAACACAATCAAATCACAAACCAATAACAGCCTTTCTAATGAAACCCCAAAGTCTGATCACCAAACCACCTCCGCTGAAATGTTAATCCCAATAACCATTGGCCTTCTGTGCATGTGGTCTTCATTTTCAAGTCAGGGAGTTACATTTGAATTGATGGTTTGAATCCCCCAGGCACTTGGGACGGACGCCTCGTGCGGAATGATGTGAACAAACACCGCGCTCGAGCCCGAAGAAAATCCCGCCCATTGCTGTGGATAATTCAGAATCTTTAGGGGTCAAACACGCATGAGCGAGACCCCGCGCCGTCCTCCGTCCGCAGGGAACGCGTCAAAGGGGTAGGTGGAGAGCGTTAACTTAATAACACACGTCTTAATGTGACCGCGATTGTTAATGTCAACAGGGAGAAAATTCCACTTGCTCTTACCTGATCGCTTCAAGAATGCGTAGAAACATTACGCTGCGCGTAACCACCTGTGAAAGCTCAGCGCATTTTCCTTAAAACGCTTGTAAACTGAGCGGGGAACGCGCGGTCTTTGGCTATTTTAGACGGCAATATATGGGTTTCTAGTAAAGAACAACAAAGTTCCAAACAAAACACACACAAGCCGAGTGAATATGCTGGAAGGCCACAAAGGCAACAATGGTCACTGCCCACCACCCACTGTCACGCTTATCACACGGGAATCAATTAAAAAATCATCCATTCATTAACTCACCTGGTCTCCGTAGTTTTCGGCCTTCCTGCTTTTTCGTGAAGTTAATGAACGAGTCAAAGCCCTTTTCTAGCCAACAATCTCGTTGACCGTGTGGTAATCACAGACAACAGCAGTGAAAAATGAAGTGTCCCCAAGCCCAAGCTCGCCGAATCTGTCTTGCTGGCTCAAAGTGCTGTCGTCCGGTAAGTGCATTGACGCTATGGGTTCTAGTTAGACAGTGCAGTCACGCAGGGTAAACATAGTCCCGTCTGGCGTAAGCTTAAAATTGGAGAAAAGTGCGACGGTCTTCAAACGGGTTTGAAAAGCGGCTGAGCCTCAATATCCGGTTCAAAAGACCGCCCTATCGTTGCTAAATAACTGTCCCTTTATTACTTTTTTCGTTTATGCCTGCAGCACTGTTTCTCGAACAGTCACTCCTTGTCAGAAAAGATTTCTGTAATCTTGGCTGTAAAGCTGTCCGAAGTGTTGTTAATTCTGTCTGTGCTTTCATGCATCAACGCCCAATTCCTGCATCGTTGTTGCAACGAAAAATGAAGCGAAGCGAATCCAAATGGCATTAGTAATCGCGAAGGTTTTTTTTCTGCCGGTTGTACAAGGGTGTGCGTTGAGCAAAGTAGAACATACAACCAGAGGCAGGTTGGGCAACAGACTACTCGTGGAGGAAGGAGTAAAGTGGAAGGGGCGGTACCATCACTGTTACCACTATCAAAGCAACTGAGAATTGTCACTCCGAGCGAGCTGCGCTTAAATACACCGCGATCGTCCACCAGCGGTCGTACCGTATTGCATCGACGTATAGCTTGCAATCAACCAGTCACTATGAGCCGTCCGCGCAGACGCACCTGCTTGCAAGATGCGATGCCGTGGCTGTTCGTGCACTCAGCGATTTTTGGGCCACTACTGTATGCTGGGAACATACAATTAAAGTAACTCAGGGAATAGTGTTACGCGGGCTCGGGATATTCCGTTTTGGTCATTGCAATCCACATACAATCGGTGCTCTTTTGTACTCTGGTAATGATGTTCCATGAAAGCAGCCTGCTATTCTCTTGTTAATGTTGAGAGAACAAAGTCCTCGTTTGTCCACACGATCAATCAAAACTGTCTAAGCAAGGCACAGATAGAAACGTGACTGCACTGAGTCTGTGTATAGATCTGTTCGTGCAATAACAAAACACTCGCCAACGTAGGCTGTTGCCGACGCTCTGGTTTGATTTATTTATTACTGCTGACTTTTGCTCTGCAACGTTCCTAATTGATCTCAAATGTGAGGAGCATCAGTATAAAAATTTTATGTCGAGAACAAAGCAGAAAACTGCCCTTTAAATCAGCGCTCTGTTGTATAATGTACAACACGTCGATATCAAAGGCTTTTTCTAAGTTGAATGAACGAAGAAATTTGAAAGCTACGGAGATACTTAAAATGACGTCAATTTTTTTGCACAGTCCCAATTTTCAGTACAGTGTAAATTAGTTTTGTTCCCAAAACGACTGACTAGAAGTAGTAGTAACTTCAGGCATGGTCTTAGATACTTCTCATTGGTATACTGGCTTTTCACTCCATCTTCGTTCATATGCTGCATATGTGAAAGTAAAATTGAATTCATATTCATATTCATTTATTCATTTTGACATTTTAGGCATGTATTATGCGAATTTTGACAAAGGCAAGTATCCCTAAAAGTGTCCATGACCAGTTTATTTCTGACACAAACGAGCGAATTTTCCCATTGTTAGCAAGCAGCGTATTATTGACAAAGTGACCAACAAAGTTACACATGCCGAAAGAACACAACTGATACATAAAACTAAACATGAGAGAACGGAAAAACAAACTCCATTGGTCTTCACAACAACCTATAACCCAGCCATCATCCATCAGGATCTACATCGAGCAATAAACAAACACTGGCACCTAATTCAGAGAAATGCAACATTACGGGAAACATTCCCAACCCCTTTTTATTACTTTCAGAAGAGCGCAAAATCTCCGGGAGAAACTAATCCGAGCCATATTGCCACAGCAAAGAAGGCCCGAACCACTCCCCAAAGACTCGGGTTTCTTCAAAGATCTGAACTACCAGGATGAAACCTTAAACATACTGCTCTCCCTACTAGAGGAATAAAACGTCAGTGATGATCCATGGAATATTAGTAATAAGATGGCTCGATCACACAAAGTGATTTTCCCAAACCACTGATTATATCCAAACCCAAATAACACCTTCAGCGAGTTAGCCATGGTTCGCACCGAACCAAGCCCTGTGCAACTGAAGAGTACCAGCACAAAAGCATGCTATTGCTGTCAAAGAGGATTTACAAACAAAATCCTCTGCTTGCAACGGTACAATCCATACCACCTAATACCATCTATTACTATTCATCATAATTCATAAGATCCCAATGGGTCGCTCATGCCCACCAAAAATCTACCCGTAAAATTCCTACATCGGCCACTGAAGGCAGAGACCAATCGAGGCCTAAATATAAGCCAACAAAGTCAACAGAGAAGAAATGTCTCTGAATGGGAGAGTGCAGTCATTTCTCAAAAGATTTATATATAAGATACCCGAAGATGAAATTAAAATGTCAAGACAAAAAGGGGTAAGTGCATGTGTGTTTAACAAAGGCAAGGGGCTTCGCGACTGTGGTAAAATTGATATTGCTCTCAAGTCCTGTTCGTGATGTGCCTGAGATGTGTAACAGGGGTCATGCGTGGTTTGCGTTTGGCAATTCAACAAGCATTGCACCTCACGAATCTGATGTTAATGATTCGTCTAATGCCACCCTGATACATTCGGCATTTTCAGGACAGCGTTGGGACTGGAATTTGATCTAAAAGCCATTTCTGGCTTATACAGGTTTAATATTACCATGTTTCCCGAGTCAATGGCATACCTTTTACAGTTTACGTGTGAACTAGCAGACTCTTACTGGAAGACTGCATTGAAAATGCAGAATGTAGAACTAAATCCTTCAACACCATGAGGCTCTCCGCAATCAATTCACTTCTCGTCATTCTATCTCAGGGACACAGCCTTGCATTACACTGAAGCACAAAATAACCCATTTTTAGTGAACTGGTGGCATTTGGTAGGGAATGTGATATCTATACGAGAAATAAGTTGACTCAACACGGTTGTGTTGAGTTCTACCCCTGCCAGTGCAGATATTTTGACTGAAAGGGGGACCTCTTAATCCCAAAAGCTGTTTAAAAAGTTACTCCTTCCTGTACCTTTTCTGCACTCATCATCTTGTGATGTGTATCGTACCTGACGGAGTAGCTGTTCTTACAAAAGCTCACGTTGTTTTCTAATTTTAGTTAGTCCTGATTGTTGTTTCTGTAATGACCTATGTATCTGGCAAGACCACCATGGTTGTGCATGTACCTTTAATCATCTTTTTTGAGAAATTCTCGCCTTAACACTTTGTAGAGTCAGACGTTGAAACCTTCATTGTGCCACCTTTTATTTGAGCTGGTGTATCAGTGACTGGTTTTTAACTTGTATGTTTAGTTTCCATTCTTTTTCTCACTATACTCAAATAAAGGACAGAAATCAACAACAGTCAGCATTATTCCAACTGAAACAACGCGTGTTTATTGTACAAAACAGCCTCATATTATTACCGCATTAACCTGCAGTTTAATACCTTAGATAAGGTTCGGTACATCAGTTTGTGATTTGTGACTTGTCTTTTGAAACGAAACTTTGCTCTGTGTTTTGAAATTACAAGCGTCGTGTGAAATTAGACTTCTATGAGACCTGGCCCCTTTGCCTTAAATAAGGACTCTAACCCTTGCATGTCATTGATCTCTTTTCTAATTTGTGCCTAGTGCAATACCAATGATTCCATATTTTATCGAATTCTAAATCTCACTCTACACCGCTCATCGATGTATTCAGACCCAAGTTGTTTGTACTTTGTTCCCAAAGCCCGAAAATCCCTTTCTAGCTCAGTATAGTTGTTTAGTCAAAGAGTAACGATTGTTCCGCGATATAAACAATTTCCCAGCAAGAGGGCCTGGTACTCTGATTCTGTCTCATGCCATTCCAATATTTAAAGAGAAACATCTGTGCTAGGACTAAAACACCAGGTACTCTTATTACTTTTCAATTTATTCATCACACGATACTTAGGAGTCGGCTGATCGCTATTCCCACTGATACTAACCTGAGCTGTAGCCTTTTATCACCGAAAAGCCATGTAAGACCTTTTTCCTCCGGGCTTTCAAACGATTTAAGAGTTTTTCGACCTCGAAAATGTATTCATACTCATCCTGCCTTCGTGAAGATATACCTTTAATTAAGCAGTCATGGTGCATTGGTGTTGATATGGCGTACCTTAAACTCCGAGCTTTCGAGTTAAATTGGTTAAACCCAGGTGACAGAAAACATTTTGGCACACTTAAAGAGCACCTTTAAGGGAAACATGTTTTCTCTGGTTTTATCTGTTCAAATAAATATGGAAGAATCCAAATCGAACTCAGTGTCATTTGTCTTCGAGCTCAACTATAACAAGCTAAAAAGTTTTTTCTGTTCATGCCCAGATGCGAATTCTGAATGTAGATTGCGTCATTCGGAGAAAACAGGGAAAACAAGGGGAACTCTCGCCCTCTGTTCGTAGTGGATAAACCCTTGTGCATGCCAAACTATGGATACATGGTTCCCCTCGTTTGCTCTGTTTTCAGAATTCAGAATTTGGATCTTGGTATGGACCGGGAAAAACCCTTTTAGCTTGTTGTAGTTGAGGTCTGAAGAAAAATGACACTGTGTTCGATTTGGATGCCTCCATATATATTTGAAAAGATAAAAAACAGAGAGAATATCTTTTCCTTAGAGGTGTTCTTTAATGCATCTGAAAAGTTCGGCGAAAATTGTTGTAGGGGTTGTGTCACGATTTATATATCACTACTTTTTGTCAAGGCGAGTCTATTAACCGCTATTTCAAATACTTTCAAACGCAGTCCTAGATGAATCTTTCCTTCATAGGTACCTTATTAAATAATGATAAATCAATAAAAACGATATAATGTATATTTATAAATCGCCCATGTCTACCAGCACCCTACACTTTAAGATGCTTTATTATCGTCATTGTTTATCGGGTTCATGTGGCTTTTTTATTTTAAAAGTGTCAGAGCTCCATATGGAGTATACAAGTATAGAAGTCAGCCATTTTTGACTCAGACTGCTGCTAAAAAAAAACGGTTCTGCCCTTACAAGTACCCACTCATGCTTAAGAGAGGCAATAGATCCAAAGTGACCCGCCCGAGGCCACAGCGTGAACCAGCTATACTGAATTCCAACCAGTTTGGTTGGATGTTAATCGAACCCTAACTATTATCGGTCATAAATATTTAATTTTGTCTAAAACAGAATGGAGTTTAACACACTTTCTTCAGACAGTCATTAAAAAAACCTGGATTTTACGTGGGGGATCAGGTTTTACAGGTAGGTGAACTAAAGTGTGAGATTTTACCTGGTTTCTGTACGGCAGCTTCAACTTCCCATTTTAAAGTTACCAGCCAGATTTGAAACGTTAATGATGAATCGTTGGCCCGCGGTGTTGTTTAAAAACAGGTTTCATGTCAGATTGCATTGTGATTGAGTTCATTTTCTAAAATGGGTGTAAAGTTGGCCTGGTTGTATAAGTGTTTGTTTTCATTTTCCCTTAAACCGATTGCATGTAACAATG